CCCCCTTTCCCTTTGGCAACCACAAATTTGCTCTCTACATCTGTGAGTCTGTTTTGGTTTCATAGATAAGTTCATTTGTGTCCTATTTTAGATTCCACACATAAGTGATATCATACGGTATTTGTCTTTCTCTGTCTGGCTTACTTCACTTAGTATGATAATCTCTAGATCCATCCATGTTGCTGCAAATGGCATCATTTCATGCTTTTTTAGGGCTGAGTAGTATGCCATTGTATGTATATGTGTGTGTATATATGTATATATATATATATACCACATCTTCTTTATCCATTCCTCTGTCGATGGACAGTTAGGTTGCTTCCATGTGTTAAACCTCAATCTTCTTATCTCTGAGATACAGATAATATCCCTTGCCTCACTTGGCAATTGCAAGGATTATATATACAATAATAATGTCCAAAGCACTTAGCACAGAGGCTGGCATAGAGTAAGTGCTCAGTTAACATGCTCTGCCATTATCATGGTGTTTATACGTGATTATGACCCTGAAACCTGTTTGGCCAGAAGGAGTAGGAACCCCTAAACAAAGTCTCCTCATAGTAAGGACAGCAGTTCTTGTCTTTTACGGTATCACAGATTTAAGCAATGAAGAAAATGCAGATACCTGGGTCCTACTACCAGAGATTCTGATTCAGCGGTCTGAGGTGAAGTTGTTTTTTTTTAAAACTAGATTACCTGTTTATTAGAAAAGAATATAACTTAGGAACAGTAAGATGGAAGAGATGCAAAGGGCAAGGTATGGGGAAAGGGCGTGGAGCTTCCATGCCCTCTCAGAGAGCTCCACTCTCCCCAAATCTCCACATGTTCACCAGCCCAGAAGCCCCCAAGGCGAAGCGTTTTCTCACAAGCTTTCCACATGATTCTCGTAGATGTGTTCCAAGAACTCTACTCTGAGAAAGAGAGGCCTACGGTCTTAGAATGCCTATATAGGACCTGGGGAAAGGCTGTCAGACGATTTCAACAGTCAAGCAGGTCTCGGCTAAGCACCGTGAGACTGACAAAATCCTACTTCACCCTCTTGCTTGGGAATGGGGGCGGGGTGAAGGTCTCCAAGCTCTGGGCTCTCTTGGTTCCATTAGGTCATCGATGTTTCAGAGTTGAAAAACTTACAGTTTAATTTCCTTCAGCTGCTTTTACCTGTTACTTTCCGAAGGCCCTCTCTCCCGCTCCCGTCTCTCGGGAGACACAAGGGATTGCTGACCAGACAAAGGGGAGGCTGTTATAGCTAATGGTTCATTAAGCTGTTAAGTGAGGAGCTCCACTTAACAATTGTCTTGTTCTCATCAAAATTAAAACTGGAGAGTGGCTGATAATGGGATAAAGAAGGCATCTTCTCAGACTGGCACACACAGCCCCTGCAGTTCAAAATCCCAGGCTCCCCTGATGCCTGTCTGAACTCTTCAGCTAGGATATTTGCTCCTTTTATGTTGAAATCAGACATAAGGACAACAGACAAACTGTCCTGCTACTTTATGTAAGACCTCCCCCGCAAAAAACGATTAGCTTGGTTTTAAACACACTCGCGCGTGCACGCACACACACACACATCTTCTTTATTTGGCTAAGATAGTGAGAAAAGAATCTATAAGGCTTTAAGATTAACAAGGTTTCCTTTTTTTTTTTTTTTTTTTTGGCCACTTGGCTTGTGGGATCTTGGTTACCTGACCAGGGATTGAACCCAAGCCCTCGGCAGTGAAAGCATGGAGTCCTAGCCACTGGACCACCAGACCACTTGTTGGGAATTCCCAACAAGATTTGCTTTGACACCATCCCACCTTACCTTTGTGATGGATACGAGGTGACAGAGACAGCAAGCATCTCATAGAGGCCATAAATGAAAAAAATGAATCTCTAATGTTAGGCAAGAGAGTCCCGGGTAGGAGGACTTTGAGAGGGCACTTGTTCCTTCTAGAAGATCTTTGTTTTCTCAACGAGGCTTTCTATACATTGTAAAATGGACCTACAGAATAAGAATGGCACCTCCATTGAGATTTACCAACCCCAAATCATCTCCCTCAGGACTTTGGTCTTCAGTAACAAGTCACTAGCTACCCCTTCCCTTCCCTTCCCCAGCAAGCCCATTAAAGAAGCTGCACAGAAACCCAAAGCTTTTACTCTTTCCAGAATTCAGACTCAATTAGATGCATAGAGAACCATTGGCCTCTCTCCATCCTGTGGAAAGAGGTCAGTGGCTCATAATAGCTTATAGAACAGTTTGCTTAATTCTGATATTGTCTGAAAGTCTGCCATCCCAAGACCGCATAGATCTGGTGTTTCACACCAGCTACGATGCATTGTCTTTCCCGTGTGTGTGCCCTATCTGCTGCAGCTAGAGACCATCGTACGCCTTGCTGGGCGCTCCACATTTGCTTGTTGATGATAATCACAGGTAGCAGAACACCGGCCTATGAGTGAGGAGACCTGCGTTCCTGTTTCAGCTCTGCTACCAGCATGCTGTGTAACCGTGAGCATGTCCCTTCCCTATCTGAGAATCGATTTCCTCATCTGTAAAATGAGGAAGAAGGTCTCTAAGAGTCCCTCCAGCTCTGCCATTCTCTGAGTCTTAACATAAAGGCTTAATCAAATGTAAATTAGTCCTATCACATCAGCAACCCCTAGGCCGGTGGTTCCTAAATTCCAGTGTGCATCAGAATCAGCCAGGGAAGCAACTCTAGTTTTGGAAATGTATCTCACATCTGAAAATGGTGCATGTACAAGGTAATTCATTACATCCATTGATCATATTAGTTAGCAGAGGATTGGAAACAACCCAAGTGTCCATCAAAAAGTGACTGGTGAGGGAATTCCCGGGCGGTCCAGTGGTTAGGGCTCTGTGCTTTCACTGCCGAGGGCTCGGGTTGGGGAACTAAGATCCGGCAAGCAGCATGGCACTGCCAAAAAAAAAAAAGTGACTGGTGAAATAAAGTCTCCTCTTTCCATATAATGGAATAGTATACAGTTGTGAAAACTAGTAAGGAAGTACTCTGACAGTTATGGAAAGATCTTTAAGTTATATATGTACTTATTTTATTTTATTTTTTTATTGCAGTATAGTTGATTTAAATGTGTTAGTTTCTGGTGTACAGCAAAGTGATTCAGTTATATATATGAACATATATACATATTCTTTTTCAGGTTCTTTGTCGTTATAGGTTACTGTAAGATATTGAATATAGCTCCCTGTGCTATACAGTAAGACCTTGTTGTTGTTTTTTTTTGCGGTACGCGGGCCTCTCACTGTTGTGGCCTCTCCTGTTGCGGAGCACAGGCTCTGGATGCACAGGCTCAGCGGCCATGGCCCACAGGCCCAGCCGCTCCGTGGCATGTGGGATCTTCCCGGACCGGGGCACGAACCCGTGTCACCTGCACCGACAGGCGGACTCTCAATCACTGCACCACCAGGGAAGCCCAAGACCTTGTTTTTTATCTATCTATCTATCTATATCTATATATATATATTTAAAGATAAAGAACAGTATGCAAAGCACTCTAACGTTTTTGGGGGGGGCAAGTGAAAAATGTATTTCCTCTTTTGCTTGATATCTGATAAAGAACCTGGGAAAGGATTCCTAAGACTTGAATAGCAGTGGTTACCTAGGTTTGTACGGCAGGTGAGGCTGGGGAAAGGTCGGAACTGGTCAGCTGAGGACAGGGATGGGAGTGACACTTTCACTCTATACATTTTTTTATATTTTTAAAGTTTTATGCCATATGAATGTGTTGTCTGTTCAAAAATTACATAATAGAATAACAATCCACTTGAAAACTAGTTAAAAATGCTGAGCTTCATGAGTCAGAACTCCAGGGGTTCAGAACCTGCATTTTTAGCTAGTTCCCCCCTGTAGATTCTGATGTAAGTGGTGAGTGAAATATACTTAAGAAAACACTGGGCTAAACACTTTGCAGAACAGGAAGGACAGCAAAGATGCCTGCAGTGTAAGTAAGGGCCTCCTCGTTAACGATTTCTCTACCAAGCAGGCCCACATCACGATGAAATTCTAAGACTTCCAGGTCCATACCTTACCTTTCTACTTTCCTACATCTTCCAGTGACGTGACCAAGCCTTCTTTGGGAAATCCAGATATTTCTTGACAACGGAGAATATCAGGTCTCTGGCACTTTTGTTTGTGTGGCTTTTCTCTTTCAGGCTGGCAGGACTTGCTCATCTGGAGGAATAAGGGTTGTTGGTAAAGAGAAAATCCCCTCCAAAAGATGAGATCAAAGCGTGATTTCACTTGCCCTGTCCTTCTGTTGCCAGCAGCAGTAGGGCAACCCCTGCTTCCTAGTGAGGAGACCTGCTTGTGGATTTTGAGTCAGGGTGTGGGCAATACGTAGATTTTGCCTGGAATTGATTTACACTGATACTTTGTCTGAGCCAAATCGATGTGCTTTTAAAAATAATGTTCAGCAACATTTATTGCTCGTGTGTGTTAAGCACTTGCCATGTTACCTTATTGATTTTTTCAACCTTGCTCTATTTCACAGATATGGAAGCCAAGGCTGGAGTAAGTGAAGTGAGTAGCCACAGGCTACACAGCTAATAGGCAGCATGGTTGAGATGTACATTCAGGCAGTCTGCTGCTAGAGTGTGCTCCTAACCACTTGACTATACGGCCTCTCTTTGCTGGTGGGAGGAGGGTCATCCCTACTCAAAGACAAGGCTCAGTCACGCAATAAGAAGTTTCTGCAACTCTGTCCCAAGAGCTCAGGGAATGTCCATAGGCCGCCTTTGACTCCCAGTCCAGATCCCTCTTGCGCTGGTCTGCCGTGCCTGGTTTTCTCACTAACGTTGAAGAGCCCAGATTCTCTCCCTTTGGTCTGCCCGTGGGATTGGCACTTCAGTTGGACTGTCTGATGGGATTTAATGTTCAGCTTTTCCCTTGATCACTGGCTTTCAGATCACCTCTGGCTCCAAGCTCTGATGCCCCCAGGCGGGTCTAACCTGAAGCTCAACACTGGTTCCCAGCCCAGGCCCCCAGCACGGATGTAGAATCCTGGCATCCTGCTTGTCCTACCAGGAAGAGAAGAACAGACTTTCTTGGTCTCTCTCAGACTGTTCTATCTTAACTAGATGCTTCTGCTGACCCCTCACCCTCAGTCACGTGCAGCAAGGTCTCCCAAGCCTTGTCAACAAGTTGACTTCCTCCAGCACACCACAAAGAAGTCAAGCCACCGGCAATGACTTATTGGTGGCCCAGCATTGTACCTTAGAGCTATAATTTCATCTGAGGGCATTTGCTGCCCCTCCTACTAACAACTGGCATACAGCCCAGGCAGTGTGGAGACAGGAAGAGGAAATATCATCTCATACAACAACCATATAGTTCATGCACTTCTTGTTTTCTCAGGATTGGGGACAAATTTGCACCCAACCAATCATTTGTTATCGCCTTGTTCTAGGGTGGGGTGCATTCGAAGATAGTTGGCTACAGTGGGGGAGAGGTGGAGTGTTTGGACACGTGATAGAGTAAAACAAACTGGTTCAGCCTCAGGGTGCTCTGAAAGCTTTAATCAATGGTGTTAACTAGTCCCCGGTAGGGTGACAATAACTACACCAGCTCACTTTTGGAGAACGCGAGCTTGGTTCTGTTAGCCATGGTGAGAGCCAAATGATGCTGTGCTAATTTGTCCTTTTTAGCATGTCCTTGTCATCAACTAAGTCCTAGGGGCTACGTGGAGTAAGACCACTTTATCTCCTTTTGCTGCTTTGACCGCATCCTTCCCCTTCTCAAAACCATTCAGCAGTTCTCTCATCGGAACACCAGAAAAACTAGATCCCACCCATGGTCCATTAACACGGCGTAGATAGCCTGGGTTTGGGAGCCTGAAAGCCTGAGTTTTGAATCCTAGCCCGGCTACGTACAACCTGTTTAATTTGGGGCAAGGTACTGAACCTCTCTGGTTCCCAGTGTTTTCCTTTGTAAAATGAGAATAAGAATGCCTCCTATCTTACCGGGTTGTTATGAGGAATAAATGAGTTAATATTCGTAAAGTGCTTGGAACGGCGTCTGACTATAGTAAATGCCATGTAAACGTTTGTTAAATAAATAAATAATAAGTATATCCATCCATTAAACAGATATCTGTCGAGTATCCACGAGCTAGCCAGGGATTGGCAAATTTTGCTGTGGAGGGCCACATACTAAATATGTTTTTAGGCTTTGCAGGCCACGAGATCCCTTGCAACTGCTTGACTCTGCCATTTGAATGTGAAAGAAGTCGTAGATAGTATGTAAATGAGATGGTGTGGCTGTGTGCCAATTTCAATTTATTAAAAAAACAACAACAGACTTTGGACTAGATTTGGCCCACAGGCCATAGGTTGGTGACCCTATGCTAGGGAATGGGGATCCAATGGTATGCAAAACAGACCCACTCGATCATTCAGTCTAGTGTGGGAGACAGATATGAATGAAATAATTATGCACTGTGTCAATTATGATAAGTATGGGAAAGGAGTAGGGATGGGAGTAGGGGTAACGCACTCTGGAGGATCAGCCAAAGTTTCTGAGGAAGTAGCTTCCAACAGAGATCAAGGTCAGACTTAAAACAGGTGAATGGGGGTGTGTGGAGGGGCATGTGTGAGATGCCCTCCATCGACATCACCCTCAAAGACTAAGGATGTCCTAAACACCTTAAATATCTCCATCGTTACCCTTCATTGAGTCTATGGAGAAATAATTGAGATTTGTATTCAGTCCTTTCCTAAAGTTGTTTTTAACTTCAGCATGTCTTATGTATTGTGAGAACAGCAGAACTGTTAAAAGCACAGACTATTGCCAGGCTCCTTGGTCCTACACAGTACTTGTGTAATCTTGGGCACGTTTCTTAACTTCTTTTTTTTTTTTTTTTTTCCGGTACGCGGGCCTCTCACTGTTGTGGCCTCTCCCGTTGCGGAGCACAGGCTCCGGACGCGCAGGCTCAGCGGCCATGGCTCACGGGCCCAGCCGCTCCGCGGCATGTGGGATCCTCCTGGACCGGGGCACGAACCCGTGTCCCCTGCATCGGCAGGCGGACTCTCAACCACTGCGCCACCAGGGAAGCCCTCTTAACTTCTTTGTGCTGGAGTTTCCTCCATCTTTCAGATGAGGATGACAATGTTGGTAGTATCCACCTCATGGGGTAGTTATGAGGATTAAATGAGCCAATGTACGTAACCTACTTGGAATAGTGTCTGGCTCATAGTAAGTGTGAATATGTGTTAGCTCTTGCTGCTGTGGTCGATTATGTGTTTGATACTCTTTGTAGGGTTCACTAGGGCTTCCTTTTCTTCCTGCTAACATTGCCCCCTTGCTACTCTGAGGAGTACCACTCCACTAAATTCTCTTATTTCAGGATTTAGTTAATTAGCCAATAAGACAATGACTAACATGTGTTGGGCACTTATGTTCCAGAGTTGGCGCTAAACCGTTTATGTACAAATCTCACTTAATTCTCAAATTCAAAGTTTTAATAGCCCATTTAAATTGAGGAAACTGAGGCTCAGAGAAGTTAAGTGATGAGACAGAATATGCAAATGGACAATGACCATAGCGTATATAAAAATAAAAGTCAGGGGGCTTCCCTGGTGGCGCAGTGGTTGAGAGTCTGCCTGCCGATTCAGGGGACACGGGTTCGTGCCCCGGTCCGGGAAGATCCCACATGCCGCGGAGCCGCTGGGCCCGTGAGCCGTGGCCGCTGAGCCTGCGCGTCCGGAGCCTGTGCTCCGCAACGGGAGAGGCCACAACAGTGAGAGGCCCGCATATCGCAAAAAAAAAAAAAAAAAAAAAGTCTGACCCACAACCTGCAGCAAATGCCTAGGAAACCACCTCCTTTTCTACAATAACCAGCCCACGAAGGCAGCCTGCTATGTCAGACTCGCACGAAGTCAGATTGCTACCTCTGGTAACAGTCCAGGAAGCCAAACACCGACCCCTGTAACAATCAGCCCCAAACGGCCAGGACCTGATTAGTGATTGACAGCTCCCCTTAGTTTTGTCCCAGCTTCCAACTTGGGACCAACCAAAGAAAGCCAAATATGCCCCTCTAGTCAATCGCATAGGATGCCCTTCTTCTAGTTAGCCTGCCTACAGTGTTCCTATGCCAACAGCCTCCAATCAGGGCATACCCAAAGCCTTTCCTTTTTCCACTATGAAACTTTCCCACTCCTCTGCCTGCCTTTGAGTGTCTGCCTAATCCTAAGTGACAGTGACTGATTCTTTTGTTGTAACAAGCTCAGAATAAATAGCCTTTGCTTGTTCTTACTTGGTTGGTCTTCATTTTGTCACACTGACACCCTAAGGGTCACAAAGCTAATAAGTGGCAGAGCTAGGATTCACACCCTGGTCTATCAGTCTGCAGAGTCCCAAGTCCTTAGCTTCTATATTATACTGTCTTCCCACACTTGCTTTTGGGATGTTCTTGAATTAAACTTTTTGATGGCATCCTCTTCACCTTTTCCCACTGAAAAGAGGTAATCTGTTTAGGATTCCCTTATGCAACAGCCCCTGCCTCCAAGAAAATTGGAGGTTCCCTCTCTGTACCTTCTCTAGCTCACTGCGCAGTCGGAGGTGCAACCTACATATAATAATTACAGGGCTGACAGCACCCAGTGTAATACGTGGTTTTTTTTCAGGGCTGGCGCTATGAGTAGGTAGTGTAATCAAGACAAAGATATAACAGTTGTTGAGTTCTTATGATGTACCAAGCACTGTGCTAAATACTTTATATACATTAATTATCTCATTTAATCCTCAGAACAACTCTAGCAAGCAAATAATGCTATAATGCCCATGGTGGGGACGATGAATCAGAAGCAGAGAGAGCTCCAGCAGTATTACTGTGGCTTCAGGGGATGGAGAAAACTTCTTCGCTCCCCATAACACTTCTGGGTAGCTCCTACCTGAATTCCCATTATTAACAACGATTGGTTTTATCAAAATGCAAATCTCCCTGGAAGAGGTAATACAGTCAGCCTTCCCAACCCTTTACACTTCACTTGGAATGAACATATCACAGTCCCATTTCTGATTTCTGACAGCTGGCTTTGACAGGCAGTAAAATGGAGAGAGCAAGGACGTACTCAGTGAGGTGACAGACTTTGGGACATTTACTATCATATAATGCAATCAAGGGCCAGAGAGCTGGTCTTAGCTTCTGTTTCATTTCTTCTACCCTTCCTGACTAA